CCCCGTAGCTCTGGGACTAGTCTTGTTGCAAACCCTTTGCACTTTCTCTAATTTCTTGACGTGCTTGACTAGGTGTGGATTCCAAACTGGTGCTGCATACTCCAGTATGGGCCTGACGTAGATGGTGTACAGAGTCCCTTAAACGAATCCTTACTGAGGTATCGGGAAAGCTATCCGTAGGTTTGCCAGGCGCCCGTATGCTGCAGCAGTTTATTGATTGATGTGCCCCCCCAGGAGATATGTCGGTTTTAAATACTCCCCCCCGATTTTTTTCCCTTTAGTGAGGTTTGCACCCTTTTGGGCCATCAAAACTATTTGTTCTGCGGTTTTTTTTCCCCTTTCCCCCAATTTTCTGATTTTGGCATTTGGCGGGGTTTAAAATTTTCAAGGACCCATTTGCTGGACGGGCCCTTGAAAGCCGGGCCCCGATCTTTTGTAGCCCTGCCTGATCCTCGTCCAAATTCGATTCTTTTTTCATTAAATTAAACATCGTTCGCAAAAAAGGACACTTCGGTCTACCCTTTCCCTTTAATGTCGTTCACGAATCCCCAAGAACAGCACAGGCCCTGGGGACTGACCCCTGTGGAACCCCCGTTGTCACAGGCCCCCCTTGACCCCCTCGTCGCGACCAGACTCGTTGTTTCCCCCCCCTGTCGGGAAATTCTCTGACCCATTGCGGGGCCTTTTTCCGGGTTATGTTTTGCCGGGTCCTCTAGCTTTTGCAGAAACCCCCTTTTTGTGGGGAAAACTGAGTCAAAAAAGGCCTTCTTGCAGTCCAAAAATACGCATTCGATCCACCCCCTCTCTCTTGTCTACTTCGGGGTCACCTTGCCCTTTTAAAACTTAGTGGGTTTTGGGGACACAAAGGGGGGGTTCCTTCCCTGAAACCATGCGGTTTGTCAATTATACCTTGTTTCTTTCCGGGTCCCCCACCACCTCCTCCTGAGATTTTTCTCCAGGGACCTTCAAAACATATGTTAGAGATACAGGTCTTTAGTTTATTCCCCAGGTCTGTCTCCCTTTTTAAAAATTTGGGGAACATTTGCCATTTTCCATCCTCAGGGAGTTCCCCATTTCAAATGATTGTTGAAGAACTTTGTTAATGGCCAAAATATTTTCTGCTCCCTTTTTAAAGGACCCATGGGGGGAGATGTTTCTGGTCCCACCCCCTTTTGGAGGGTCAAGTTCGCATACCCACCCTTCTTCCCTCCTCCGGGGTTAAAAGTACCCATCCAGCATTTTGCGGGTGGGGCCCCCTTTTCGATTTTTTGGATCCTATGGTTTCCACTAAAAATCCTCTTTAAATTTTGGTGTTGAGCTCCTGCATCCCTTCGGCCCGTTTTTTGTAAATTTTCCCCATCACCCTTCTCAGTCTGTTTTACCGGGCCCCTTTGACTTTTGTTTTCCCTCCTAGGGGGGTTTGGAAAACAGCTTGGGGCAGTTTTACTTTTGATGCTATGCCCATTTTCATATTGTCTCTGAGCCTCCCTTCTTATCTGTGCATATTCTTTTTTCTGGCTCTTGGGCCTGTTTTTCCTCTATTCTCCTGATTTCTTGTTTTTTCTGTACCTTTTCCATTCTAAGTCCCACCTAGTTTTTTGCCTCCCAACACCTTTGGGTAAACCCAAGGGATGTTCTGTTTTTCCCCATTATTTCGGGTTTTCCCCTTGGGAAAAACCCCCCCCTTTCTGCCTCCTTGCTTTTTGGTTGCTACATAGTCCATCATTTTTTTGGTCGGTTTTTCCGCCGTTCCCCTCCCACTGAATGTCTTAAAGGGAAAATTCCCTAAAGCCTGGGGGTTTCCCCCTTTTGTTTTTGGGTTTTTTCCCCCGGGCCTTTTCCCCTGCTACTCTCCCCCACTTGGGCTCAACTTGTAGTCGAAGCACAAAACCAATATCACTAGCCCCCAGGGGCCTTTATCCCTGATCCCCTCGATGTCCGAATTTCTCATGGTAAATTTAAAAGGCCCCAACCCCTTGCTGGTTCATCCTCTCCTCCTCTCTTTTTGTCTCAAACATTTTTGATGCTTTGTTTTTTTTCTCCAGTACCACACCCCTTCTTTTTTGGTTCCATGTTTCGGGCCCCCATGGGGCCCGGGTTTTTCCCCCAGTCAATCTCCTTGTGTTTTGAAATCCCCCCAAAATTTTATTAAAACTTTGCTCCCCCCATGTGTGCTCCCCTTTGCCCCTGGGCCAGTTTTTTGGGCTTGCTCGTTGCTCTCATCGTTTTCTTCTTTTTGGCCTCCTGCAGTTCGGGGTGGGTTGTACATTACTGCAATTATCCCTTATGCCCCCTCAGACTGGATTTTTTCCAAATAAGTAGTCCCTTTCCCCCCATCCCATCCTTTCCCTTTCCCAAATTTTCCCTAAAAACCCCCACGGGTTTTTTAAATTGAGCAGTGCAAACCCCTCCCCCCCCTCTCCTCCCTCTGTTTTCCTGAAGATTGTTATCCGGAGGGAAAAACTAAAATTGTTTTTATTCTGGTGATTTTTGTTTTTTTGTGATTTGCTATTATGTTGGGGATGTCTCTTGAAATTTTTTCGTGCAACTCCTCCCTACTTGTTTGTTATTCCATCTGCATTTGTATACCACACCTTCAACTTCTTTTCTAAACGGTTGGTTTTGGGAATTATTGGGGGTTTTTGGGGAAATGGGGGAACCTGGTAGGGAACTATGGGTTGTTTCCTTTGGGGGGTGAAGTTTTTTAAAAGTATGGGGGGGGGCATTTTGGGTTGGCATGGGGGTTTTTATTTAGAGTGTTTGGTTTTCACTGGGGGTTTAAACCCGGGTTTGGGGGGGCCCTTTTATAGAAAATTGTGGGGGGGGGCCGTGTTTTGTCTTCTTCCGGGGGCTGGGATCTCCCGTTCGTCTTCTCCAACCCCCCCTTTCCTCCTTTTTTCCCTTTTTACCATTCTCTCAGTTTTTCCTTTCTTTTTGTGTTCTGTCCCGGGGCGGGGGTTTCACCCCCCTTATGCCGTCATGTCCCTTAATCGGCTTTCTCCGGGAAAATAAAATTTGGGCCCAGTCGCTTCTGCCTTGAAGGGTCACTCTCCCCTGGGGCCCGGGGTTTTTTTTTTTACCCAAACCCCCCCATTCTCCCAAAAATTTTTCCCGCTGGGTCTTCCCTCTTCTTTTCCCTTTTCTTTCATGATGCCTTTTTTAATTGCTTTTTTTTCCCCTTGGGTTTTTTTCTTCATATGTTTCCCCTTTTGACTTCCCGGGCCCATACACAAAGACCCGAAACCCCACCCTTTTTATTCTCCCACTGATAACCCTGGGTATCCCCTCATTTAAAATTTTGGGTTTTCCCCACGCAGGGTTTTTCCTTTCATCAGTTTCAATGGCCCCAATGTACTTGGGCTCAGTGGCCTTTTCCCTTTTCCCCTTTTCGGCTTTTTCCCTTTGGGGCCCGTTGTTGTCTTTTTAGGGCCCTTTCCCCATAAAACTTTGCTCTTCTTTGCCCCAGTCTCCTCTTTTATAGAGCATCTCCCTTTCAGTTGTGCCCCCTTTTTTCCCTACAGTCCCCTTATTTTGGGGGGGAGGGGCAGTCTCTGTTGTCAAAACCCAAAATGTTCCCTTTTGTTCTTTAGGCTGTTTCAGATTTTTTTAGTTCCTCTTCTAAACCTGTATCCTAGCTTCCCGCTTTTTTTTTACATGCACCCCCCCACTTCCCGCTTTCCATATCAAACCTCTTTCCATTTTCATGCTAAATTTTTCTTTGTTTCTTTTCCCATTTTTGATCCCTTTTTTTTGAGCTCTGCTGCCCAAAATTTCCCCTTTCATTTTCCTCCTCCTGTCCCCCCTTGGTTTTTTTTTTACTCTCTGGCAACCCATTTTTGTTTTAAACCTGATTTTCCTCAGAGTGGGAAACCCAGTAGTTTTTGTATGGTTTGGTTTGAGTGTTTGTGTCAAGGTGGGGGGGGGAAGTTTGTGGGGGAATTTTTTTTGCTATTTGGGAGGGTGATTTGGGGGGGGGGGGGGAGGGTTTGGGGTGAACGGGGGGGGGGGAGGGTTTATCGAGGGGGGGGATGGATCCCGGGGGGGGATTGAGATTCGGTGGGTTTTAAAAAAAGGGGGGTGTGTGTGGGTCTGGATATGTGGTGGTGGGGTGTGTGTGTTGGGGTGTGTGGGGTGTGGTGTGGGGTTTTGGGGTGTAATTTTGTGTGAAAATTTTGGGGTGGAAAATTTTTTGTGGGTTTTTTATGTACTGAAAAGGGAGTTTCCCTTTGCTTTTGGGGTGTAATGTTGATTCTCGTTGTCGCTTGTTGTCCACAACCTCTTCTGACCGACTCCCACCCCTTTCGTGTTTCCTATATCACCGCTTATAGTGATTTTTAACGCCTTGTTCAATTTTATTTCCAATTTTCTAAACCTTATTGGGAAAACTTGAGGCCATTCTTTTTTCGTGCTTTGAGAAATTTTTGACCATTTACATTCAGCTTGGCGGTTAAATTGGAAACCTGGACCCCCCACCCCAAAAAACCACTCATAGGTGATACAGTCTTGTAGTGCAGTTGTAGCAGTGTAGGTTGTCCGGTCGATGTGACGTCCCCGGAGTAGTTTCCCGCTCGATGTACGTCCTTTTCGTGAAACCCCTCAATTTCTTCTTTGTTAATAATGTACCCTATTTACTGTATTTCTTTTTACTGGTCACACTTTGTTTCACTTTATTAAAATCTTGGGTGACACTTGGCAACGCCGCCTTCACACTAGCCTGCGCCACAACGCTTTTATTTTCCAGATCACTTTCAAAATTGTGGCTCTCCCCACACTTGTGTGGCTCAGGCAATTAAAAAAAAACACTTCTAGGATTGCTGACTACCCTGACACACTTAGCAACCCTTGCAGAACACTTGTAGCCCTCCAAAAACACTTAAATCCCCGGAGCACCGACGGCGTGACTAGCACCGACGGCGTGGGTGTTAGTGTGTGTGTGTGTGTGTGTGTGTGTGTGTGTGTAGGCAGTTGGCGAGGTCCCAGTGTGGTTATTGTGTTGGTAGCCTGCACGTCTGTGCCATCTTCCTCACCTGCCCAGTATCCGTGTTCATGCCCTGGTGTTAACGCCGCCGCAACTGGCCGAGCCTCTACGAAGCGAGTGCATTGAGCTAAACTGGTGGACCGGTAAGCCAGCGGAAGGCCTAGGTCGAATGATTAAAAGTTCCAACGGCTGGTCATCATCTAAGGCCCACGTCGGGAAACACTTGTCCTGTTTCCTGACGAACCTTACCTAACAACAGTAAGCGCAGGTTTTCACGGGCACCAGCGACCTTCCCCATCATGTAACCGCATCAGTGACTGTTGTTTATCCATCAAGAAGATACAAAAGTCTGGGAGATGCTCTCCGATAAATAGCTGACAGCACTAGGAGCCTATTATATGTGTGGATACAGTGACAGAAAAGTATCTGAGAAATAGATACAATAAATGGCAGTGGATTGAAATGAGAATATAAGAAATAGTTATGTACTACCAGTCAGTGTTTGCATGTACGTCATAACTAGGTAGTTGAACAACAGGAAAACAATACGGTGAAAGACGCAACTTTCCCATAAATTTGATGAGTTTCAGGGGTCTTTCTACTCCCGGAGCCCGGCTCGTCTTGTGCTAGAAAAAAGAACATAACCTCAGACCGGGTTGGGAGGGTAGAGCAACCCTCGAAACCTGTCACAGGTATGTCCGTAAGACTGTCTCTTCAGCGTAGTTTACAAGAAAGCGGTGCAGTGAAAGGCCTAACTTTCTGCGTATGGGCTGAGGTTTTTGAGGGTGTAAGTGATGCTCATATTAGTAATATTACCAGTATCATAAATAAGATATTCGAAGGAGGCAAGTGTTACACTGGTAATGATTGTTATACATTCAGCGCCAAAGCTAATGCAGGTGTCATGCTCCAGTGCCCATAAAGTCAGGTACGTCAAGGCATAAAACAAGCTTTGAATTGAAATTACTGGCTTTACTTCGTAATCTTCAAAAAAAAAAAAAATGGAAGTTAGGAAGGTAACATTGGTAAACAAAGAAAGGAAAGATACTAGTCAGACAAGCGGTCACCAGGGAACAAGGGAAGGGGTTACAAGTGGGTCCTGAAGAACTACACTAAGACTCTACCGTGGAAACTTATTTTTTGGATTTTTATTACTGAAGGTAAATTAACACTGTGTCCTTATACAGAGAGTATAAGGGAAGCCCTTTTTAAGTCTTTCTCACAAGACAAGGTTTTGTGCACAAGTGTCAGGCTTCACATAGTGAGTGCTTAACTATTCAGTGCTTCACCCTAGTGGTTGCTTCACATTTTCAGGCTTCACACTGTCATCTTCACACGTTCAGTGCTTACATTGTCTGCTTCACATGTCATGCTTTCCCCTGTCAGGCTTCACACCAGTGCTTCCCTTTGGTCAGTGCTTCACATGTCAGTGCTTCACTAGTGTCTGCTCACACTGCAGTGCTTCACATTTCATGTTTCACCTGTAGTGCTTCACATGCAGTGCTTTACACTTCATGCTTCACATAGTGTCAGTGCTTCACATGTCAGGCTTCACATTTGTGTCAGGCTTCACACTTTCAGTGCTTCACATAGTGTCGTCTTCACCCCTGTCGGCCCTTTCCATTCGTGCTTCCCATAGTGTCTGCTTTTCCCCACATGTCAGGCTTCAACATTGGTCATGCTTCACACTGCAGTGCTTCACATGTCAGTGCTTACACTCTCAGTGCTTTCCTTTTAAAGTGTCATGCTTCACATGTTTAGTGCTTCACACTTCCCTGCTTTACATGTGCAGGCTTCACCTTCGTGCTTCAATTTGTGTCAGTGCTTCACACTGCATGCTTCACAAGTGTCAGGCTTCACTAGTGTCAGTGTTTTACACTGTCATGCTTCACAAGTTTCAGTGTTCCACTGCGTGCTTCAATAGTGTCAGTCTTCACATGTCATGCTTCACATAGTGTCAGTGCTTACACTGCAGTGCTTCACATAGTGTCATGTTCAAATGTCAGTGCTTTCCCCGTCAGTGCTTCACCTGTCGTGCTTCACTAGTGCAGTGCTTTTACAGTCTGCTTTACATAGTGTCAGTGCTTTAAATGTCAGTGCTCCTAGTGTCAGTGCTTTACACTGTCAGTGCTTCACAAATTATCAGTGTTTCACATATGCAAAGGGTTAAAATATCTGCTTCACTAGTGCAGTGCTTCACAAGTGCCCTTCTTCACATAGGTCAGTGCTTCACACGTTCAGTGCTTCAAACAGTGCCAAGTTGGGTTCCCTCCAGTGTTCACATTATGTCAGTGCTTCAACAAGTGCCTGTTTTCAATAGGGGCCAGTCTTCATACAGTGCCAGTGCTTCACACTTTTCCAGTGCTTCACATACTGTCAGTGTTTCCCACACAGTCGCCTGTTTCTACATAGTGCAAGTTGCTTCACATAGTGTAAGTGCTTCACATGTGCCTGGTTGTCACACAGTGCCAGTGCTTCACACAGTGCCAGTGCTTCACATACTGTCAGTGCTTCACACAGTGCCTGTTCTTCACATAGTGCAAGTGCTTCACATAGTGCAAGTGCTTCACATAGTGCAAGTGTTTCACACAGTGCCAGTGCTTCACCCAGTGCCAAATCTTTTTTCTTTCACATAGTCCCAGTGCTTCACATAGTGCAGTGCTTCCAAGTGCCAGTGTTTCACACAGGGGCCAGTGCTTCACATAGTGTCCAGTCCCCTTCACAAGTACCCATGTGCTTCACACGTGCCAGTGTTTCACATACTGTCAGTGCTTCACACAGTGCCAATTCTTCACATAGTGCCAGTGCTTCACATAGTGTCAGTGCTTCGCATAGTGCCAGTGGTTCACACAGTGCCAGTGCTTCACATAGTGTCAGTGCTTCACACACTACCAGCGCTTCACACAGTACCAGTGCTTCACACAGTGCCAGTGCTTCACATACTGTCAGTGCTTCACACAGTGCCTGTTCTTCACATAGTGCCAGTGCTTCACACAGTGCCAATTCTTCACATAGTGCCAGTGCTTCACGCAGTGCCAGTTCTTCACATAGTGCCAGTGCTTCACATGTGTGTCACTAGTTTGTCATGGGAAACGAATCTAGAATCTACCAAAAAGATTAAATACAGGATAAACTGTTACAACAGATACACAAGAGTTGAGTGTGAAATATGTAAGGTGGCATTTCCTCCCCTGCCTGTGCTGTCACCCATGTTGGCACTGACCATCCTTGCCAGTGTTAACACGTTGGCTCTCTGGCACTAAGGGGAAAACTACTTAGTATTCCTTCTGGCGACTCACATAAATTTACATTAGGCAAAAGACTAGTATAGAATCAAGTGTCTTCCTGTTTTGCTTTGGATCTGAATAAGATTTTATGTTTTGAAGTGTTTGTGGGGCATCCCTTACTTTCAGCAGATATACTATGATATTACTCCATCATATTAATAGGAAGCGTATAGTACGGGTGTAGAGTTAACATGGTTGTGTCGGGAGAGTAGTGAATGAGGTGGTGTAGTGAAGGTGTCTGGGTGTCACCAGGGTCTAATGAGTTGTACAGACCGCCTCTCGCTTCTGTCCTTCCTATCAACCCTTCTCACTCTGCATCTTACTTTCTTACCCATCTTCTATCCTTTTCTCCTCATCCGGTCATTTTTGACCCATTCCTTGTTACTACTTATCGCCTGTACATTTCTACCCATCCGCTGTACCTAACCAATCCTCTGTCTCTTGCCCATTCACTGCCCTCTTCAAACTCATTTCCTGTCTCTACCCATCACTTGCCTCCTTCCTGCCCATCCTCTTCCCCCTTTCTACATATCTACTGTCCCTTCCTACACATCCTCTGCCTGTGGAGGGATATACTTTCAGTCAAATAAAGGGCAATGGAGCGAACTTTCCTGGTTGTAAGAGGACATACTACGGGACACAGCAGTGTCGACCAAGGCTCAATATGAGTGTAAACGATTTAGTGGTTATTGCATATGATAACTCGAGTCTTTAATTTTACAATACGATGATGGTTATGTCATATTCAGTGACGCCATGTTATAAGGATATTAGTTGTGGGTGCCAAGGCAATATGTTGGTGTCCTTGCAGGAAAGTGCTGCCAGGTGGTGCCGGATCAGCCGGGCTGTGGCGCGTACGTTGGACTACGTGCGGCCAGCAGTAACAGCCCGGTTGATCAGGCCCTGATCCACCGGGAGGCCTTGTCATGAACCGGGCCGCGGGGTCGTTGATCCCAGGAATAACCTCCAGGTAACCTCCAGGTAGGTGAAGTCAGGCGAGCGATGCGTCCGGCCTCGCTCGCCTGACTGACCAAGAGTACTCAGTACTCCACACAACAGGATCGTTAATTGTGTGGGAATTGTTGCCGTGGCGGTTAAGTTGCCCACACTAAGCCACCAGCGGTGTCGGTGATACCCCGACAAAGAATTGGAAGTGTACATGAGTATACATGATGTAACTGACAGATGACTCCTGTAGCACAGTTCAGACAATTAATACAAGGTTTGAGTGAGCCTTGTGCTTATTGGTGACAGGATGTTGCTGCAGTGTTAGTGTGACTGTGAGATTGTTATGGTTGTCCTCCAGAGTCTTGTAAAGTAGCACTGCCAGATGCTCACTAAACCCAAGACTCGTAGCGTAAGGCAACCCGTCTCAGTGGCTCAGTAGCCACTAGGGTACCTATGTTCGGTATTTAACCAGACCCATTAATAAAACACATCACGTACTCTCTCTCACTCTCTCTCTCTCTCTCTCTCTCTCTCTCTCTCTCTCTCTCTCTCTCTCTCTCTCTCTCTCTCTCTCTCTCTCTCTCTCTCTCTCTCTCTCTCATATGCCCAAGAGTCCCTACGAGGATTACAATACAAAATAATATCTTTATCCGTTTGATTCTCCGGGGTAATGGCCCCTGCGGCCCGGGTCTAGACCTGGCGTTCTGGTTGATGCTTTAATCAGTCAGACTCTTGGTGCTAGCCTCACGCAGTCCACCATATGCACCACGGCCCGGAAGACCAGGAAATGATTTCAATAACTTGCCAAGTTTTCTCTTAAAGACAGCTGGGAGTCCGTTGATAATTTCATATAATGAAGAGACGTTGAAAAATCTTGGTCCCATTACACTTACTATCTCGAAGCAGTA